CCGGCACCCGCGGGGCAGCGGCCGAGTCCCCCCCTTCTCGTCCTGCGCCTGGCTTTATTTTTTATTTGTCTGCGGTTCCCGGCAAAGCTGTGGGAAAGGGGCACCCCTGCCCTGAACACCAACGGGGAGGAACTCCCCCTAAAAACAGCTCAGAAGCACAGCAAGAGGCCGAGACAAAAAACAGCAGGCGTTTACCTCTCGGTAAAGATGCAACTGACTAATTTCCTTCAATGAATTTCGGTGTATTTAAATAGTTGTAGTGCTAATTGGACTAGATGGAGTTGGACTAGATGACCTCTAGGGGTCCCTTCCGACCCAAAACTTTCTATGATTCCATGAAAAAAAAGCTGCCAGCTTTGACCACAGGCAGGCAGCTGGAGGAAGAGAAGAGGCAGAAGTCGCGTTCTCCTCCAAAGCACGTTAGGACCTTACCCAATCTGCCCAGTCCAGGAAAACAAACCGAGTTTCAGCACTCTGCTACTGCGTTATCACTCACCGCACTGCAGAGTCAGGGACCTGGAAAGGGAACCTACAGTCCTTGGCCCTCCAGGCACACAGCAGACTGGATCAGAGTTGCACTGAGGAATTACCCACAGATGAGGTAGCTGCAGGTGTTGGAGGTCTTTATTGAGATTATAGCACAGATACACTTCTACAGTTACCTTTCCACTTTTATACGATAGTTAAAAATGCTTGCTACAGTGCACATATAATTTAGTAACCCAGAGAATCCAAAACTTAACTGCAGTTCAAATAAATAAATAACCTAATGTTTAAGGTTTACATTTTAAAAAGTAAAAGGAACTGTACAATATGAAAATATAACAATACATAAACATTAGAATCTAAAGTTTTGTAGAAATAAAACTGCAATTTCCCATACATAAACAGTGCAAGAAATAAAATTCAGATAAGCTTCTGAACTGGGAATTTAAACAATTTAATTCTTAAATTCTCATGCAGACATAGCATTTGAAGCCATGCTGGTTTCTATTATAGCATTAATGGCATCCCTTTTACTTGAGAAACTGATAGCCATTAAGCTCACTGTGACAACTGCTGCCAATCCACCCTTTTCTACAGTACATTATACACAGAGGTATTTTGTTGCATTCAAAAAGTAAAATATTGTATGTTTCTACAGGAAAAAAAACAAACAATATTTTACTTTTTTTTCCCTCCAACATGTTAGCTTGTTCAAAACAATGTCATGTAGCAAAACCAGCAAGCAACATTTCCCCAAGTTTAGATGAAAGAAAAAACCCCACACTATATAATGGACCATAATCAAGATGTGGTTACTGCCTAGTCACCTTTAAAGTTCAGAATTTATTACTAAAAAAGTTGAAATTGTGGAGATGTTATAAAGTTTGACCTCTTGCTGAGAAGCGATGAGTGTAATAAACCTGAAAAAACAGTGGAAGTAATTGATCTTCTTATGTGTGTGTGCGTGGAACTAGTTACCTAGAGACTTGATCAAAGTGTTGTTCAACTTAAGTTTCTATATAAAACTCTCATTGAGGCAAAGACCAAGGAATGCAAATAATACCAAACTGTAAACACGTCATTCATGTTACTTTGAGTGCACATCGACAACGTCAGAGTTCTCCTCCTAGACTCTGGCAACAAGACTACAATAGGTCACAGCAGCGTGAGTTCACATGGAAGACTGAAAGCACTGCAAAAGAATATACTAAAAACACCAAGACCTCCTAGAAACCAGAAAAATCTGTGGCAAGTGCCCCTCCTCTTGGCAAGACACTCTTCTGCTCAACTGCTGCTCTCTCCATGCTTAATTACTATTACTTTGTTTTTACAGTTCTGCAGTCTCCGGTCTCTGTGTTTTAGCTGCATAGGTTGCCTTTTTTGCACTCTAGCCGTTGTAGGTCCAAAGGGTGACAGTTCTGTCTGCAGAAGATGACAAGAAGGAAAGATCCTGTGTGTGCCACCTGCACTGAATAACTTTGTCCTTGTGCTCTCCTACCACCATAAGAGGCAGCTGCTTCGTGAGGTCCCCTACGGCAGAGGGACAAGAAATCATCCGTCATCTCATGAATTTACAGCCCAGGATTTTGTTGGTTTTGTGGTTTTTTTTTGTTCTTTCTGTTTTAGTAAAGCTTACATATGTATTTCACCTTATGAAGCACATTGACCCCTCTCTCTCGCACACACCGTATAACATAAGACCCCAGTGTGTGGTTTTTGGGCATTACTGGACACAGTACAACTTCAACATACAGGTATTCACAGTTTTTAAACAATGTGATTAGAATTTAACTGTCCAAGAAAATCAAGTCAATAGATATACCTCATCTCTCTTCTTAACTCTTCCCAATAAAAATAAGCATTATTTTTATTATTAGACTTTTTTCTTTGTTTTAAAGGGTCATTTTTATGACTGCTGCCTGAAAGCAATGGCCATCTCACCAAGCAACAAGCAACAGTGTTAATTAGTTCTTTTATCATAATCATACACGTGTCCCCCCCCAAGATTTAGTTCATAGCCCACATTCTTAGCAACACAACAGACACCATCACATTTATATACATCTCAAACTCTTCAAAGCTCTACTATTTGTTCCCTTTTTAAACTAAAACCTGATCTTTGAACCAAAATTCTCTTACAACTTCAGTATTAAAAGCACCAAACTGAAAATTAACCTAGGATCCTTTGTAGTATGTTACCTTGCAAGTCTGTCACCTTTATTTTCATATCGTATGATCCCGTGAGCAAGTAGTGTGCCCCTGGAGAGAAGCGAACGGAACGAACATCACTGGAATGAGGATGATAGCTCTGCACCATTCGCCCTCCTCGAATGTCGTACAACATGCAGCTGGAGTCCTCTTGTCCTGTAGCCAGGAGACGACCACTGGGATCAACAGCGACTGAGGCTACAGCACTTCCTACAGGAGGAAAAAAAAAAAAAAAAAACACACAACAAGAAACACGCGTTATATTTATGTACATTTATGCAAACAGCCAACTTTTTTTTAAAAATAAGAACATACATTGTATAAAAATAGCAAATGCTGGACTTAAATTTAAGATGAACATACCTAGCTACTGTTATCTCAAAATAAGAAAATTTTTATGTTCTAGCACTTAAAACTCTGAAGCCTTAAGTCACACTGGAATGGTAGCAAAGCCACTATTAAAGCTGCATGAGGAAAAGTGTATCTTTCATCAAATGAAAGTCACTCTTTATAAAATAATGTAGAATAATGCAAGGAATTCTCCCCCACCCCAATTCTAATTTATTGTCCAGTTCCCCCCACCAGGTTTCAAGAAACAAATCCAAGCCCAAGAGGTTCTTAAGAATCCTTTTGCAGATTTCTATAGCACATGTTGATGGCTTGCAAAAACGGCTGCTCCTTCCCACCCCTTACTTTGATTCTGAAACAGTTACCTTGTGTCTTGTTTTATTTTAATAGACTTGGAAGTGGTCTGTTTGAAAGTCACAGGGCAAAAAAACTAGCCAACTTTTGAAAGGAAATGTACTTTAAAGAAAAAAAAAAAACCAACCACAAAACAAAACACACAGGTAAAGATATTTTCTTTCTTTTAAAGCCAAGCCTCCATTGTGTGAAGCAAAAAAACCCTTACAATCACTCTGTACTACTTGGACATCTTTAAAATATATTTTTGTGGAAAAATGACCAGAAGTATGATAGCAAGTCTTACCTGTTCCGTGAAACGTTGTTCCCACAACACGAACACAGCTTGGCACTCTCAGATCCCAGAACCTTACAGTCTTGTCTTGGGATCCAGATGCAATCATCCAGCCGCTCCACGTATAAAGTGCCAAAATATGACCTGTGAACAAGAAGACTTCTTTATTTGATTAAATATCATTAATCAAATAATGAAATATTACAGCTCTAATTATATTTTTGCATTCACAGATTTCACAGTTCTATGGAAAACCTGCACGCTGTGTGATCTGAAATGCCAACAATGTAAGGCAATACCCAGCTTTGCATCTGCTCTGGAATGAAGTATGCACTCTGTTCAGTAACTTCACAGCCAACGTATTTAAAAACACCCCCCTCCCCCAATACCTCAAAGACTTTAAAAAAACCCAACAAACAAGTTTATTAGAATA